AGAGAGTAGTAGAATTCGAATGCCTCATCCAAAAGACCTATGACGTCATCCTCTACCTAAGTTGAGTGTTGAATAACGCCTCCCTATTGGTTCGCTAGTTATCTGAAGCTTTTCAATCCCAATATCTGATAGTTAATTCAGTATTGGATCTTGTAACGAACGCTATCAATTTAACTCAAGCCATTTTAAGGGAATATTTACGTTTAATGAAGGACTAAAAATAGACCAGTTGGAATCATGATCGCCAATAAGATGATGCCTTAATTCCTCCAAATTGCTGTCTTGTAGAGTTAGTAGAGGGTTTTCGGGTCTTTTGGTTGAACAGTTAATTAGAGACTGAACTTAATCAAATTTTAAACTGGAAACCGTTGACTGAAGAAATTAAATTTACGGAGCATGAATGCACTCATACGAAACATGTTTGTCCAAGCGAGTTTAGAGCAACGGGTGCTCATTTTTAAAACAAATTAACTGGGTACAACAAAAGGCTAAATCCTTTATGGACCTCTCACTTCCGACTGCAAGTGGATCTCACGCTTATAGAAATAGTCAAGTGAAATGAAAGTGTACTCTCTGTAAATAATGGAACAATACACCATAAGTGTAAAATATTTTTTCTTGATAAAGTACCCATTATATCCAATACTCTACTTTACATGCCTTTGAGCAATTAATCGGCACTTACAAGGGGTTTTGTTTCAAATTTATAAGTAAGATAAAGGAAGAGCTTCTTTGCAGTTTAATAAATAAATCTCGGTACTAAATTAAATTTTTTCTAAACGAAACATAATCCCGAAGTGAGGTTTAATAACAATGTGACCTGAAAGAAGCGGATCCACAATGACTCCATCATTTTCTGACTCACCACGCTACCTCCAGCTGAACTGTACATATATATATATATATATATATATATATATTTCTCAATCATTAAAAATTTATTTAATCATATCAAATGGCAGGCGTTTTGATAGTTATCATTAGCCCTTTAGTTGACTTGGGGGTTTTGAAAGTTATCATTAGCCCTGGAGCTGACTTCGGGGCTTCACAGCAGAGATAGGAAGGTACATCCAGTTGACTTCAGGCTTCACAGAGTGGAAGAAACATCAAAGTGTGACTTCAGGCTTCACAGAGGGGAAGGAACATCAAATTGAAAGTCGAGAGAGGGGTGGGAACAGAAGAGTGTTTCAAAGCCTTCAGGCTTCACAGAGGGGAAGGAACATCAAATTGAAAACAAGTCGAGAGGGGAGGAACAGAAGAGCGTTTCAAAGTGAAAAAGTCGAGAGTGGGGGGGGGGACAGAAGGGTACTTCAAAGACAAAGGTAGAAAAGATAGAAAAAAAGGAGGGGTGAGTACTGTGGTAGGGGTCGTATATGACATACAGTGGGATTGTGGTGTCAGGAGTCAACTGGCGGTTAATAGATTTTTTTGCTGTATGAGTATACGTTGCCCAAGATGCACCACGTGGAGGTAAGTCTATCGCACACCCCATCATTAAAAATTTTACTACTTTAATACTTTATCCATGGAAAAAATAATTAGGTACGAAGACCACCCGATTGTCCATTAGTGGTAAAATTTTGAAGAGAAAAGCAAGCGATTATTTGCTTGCTTAGTATTAGCTGGAGGGGAAAAACCTTTATGGTCAGTTTGCAAACTGTTTTTTTTCTTGTCTGAATGAAAGTTAATTTTAGAAACAATAACAAACCGGTGTGTCCGTGGATTAAGCTAACTCAGACTAGACTGTAGGATAACTCTTCTTGATGCTAGGGGAATATTATCCAAACGTGTTGAACAGCCTTATTAATGAGATGATTGGTGACTAACTTATTCTCTTTGATGGTTGGATTGCCTAACAAATCACTTGAGACAACAGCTGACAGAAATCATTCGGGCGTTCCTGAAATAGGAACTTCAATTGCATGCTACTTCTCCAGCCTTTATTTTCTAATAGAATTGTCATTTCCAACATTGGACGGCTGTTGTTAATTATCACGTAATGTACTCAAAAATAATTCGAAATTTTCTGTACTGCTCCACCAACTTTGTGGGGTTCTAGATGATATTTACTGAGCTTTTCATGAGCCCGGTCGTTTCAAGTTCAAACTATGATTTTATTATCGACTTGCCCTCAAACAAATGTATATAGGGGGGGGGGGGATCCATTAACTTAAAGACCCAGCCCAGGCTTCGTGGTAAGGTTTTAGGCATTGTGGAGGTCATGTGGTTGGATCCATTTACGTAGTCAACTTAAATGGAATGAAATAAGCTTTTAATTCTCAAATTGTGGATCACTTAACCAAACCTGATTCCAATGCCCGCCTAAAGAATGTCTGTTGAATCAGTGCTTTTCTTTGACACTTTGTGACTCTATTCTTCCACACTTGCGCGAAAGGGGAAGGTCGGCAAGGTGGGACTGGGCTTGTGGCGAAACTTACTTTAGAGGTCTAATTCAAGCCGCATGTATTTTTGCCTTCGAAAATAACCACTTGGTGTTTTCAATGACTAGTAACCAAAACAAAACCACCATCTGTCTGAATTGAGCGTGGATTAATTAGATATCAAGTGAATGCCGAAATATACAATCTCTCTCTCTCTCGCACACACACACACTCTCTCTCTCAGAATTAGTTATCTTTGAAGCTTGATGTGTTTTCAATGTTACTTAACTTAAAAAATACACTGACAAGAGCGAAGATTGGGTTGCCGACTTATTGTAAAATTTAGAATTGGATGGGTCTTATTGTGAAGTCTATCTTCATCCAAGGTACATGTATGATGATAAATTATTTGATAAATTAGTAATGTGTAGCAACATGAAATCAAATATCGTCGCATAGCATACCTCGCAATATTTGATAAATGAGAAATATCTATTTAGCCCATTGATCGGAGTGTCCTCATTGGCTTTGCAAGGAATCCTTAAATTTTCAAACACAAGAGGTCAGCTAGCCCGCTTCATCGCACACTTTGGAATCCATAGGATTCCAAAGTAATTATGTTCAATGGTTAAGCTTAGAAACATTAAATATTTCAGAAATATTCAAGATATTTACACAGAAATCACATAGTTCCGCTCATGACATACCATGTATCGAAAATGTATAAACATTACCTTCTATTATAACTCAATTTCGCAGACTTCAGCGGGTCTGCGTCGTGATGCGCGACATTTAATGGTCAGCGGAATTCAAACACTTCAAGTCTGCAGTTTAAATTGGCTTGCAAACATCTATTTATTTATTTATCTCAAATGGCAGGCTTTTTAATAGTTATCATTAGCCCTTTAGTTGACTTCAGGCTTCACAGAGAGGAGGAGGAACATCAAAGTGACAAAAAGTCGAGAGGGCGGGGGGAAACAGAAGAGTGTCTCAAAGATGTAAAAGAGACAGACATAAAGGTAGAAAAAAGGTGAGGTGAGTACTGTGGTAGGGGTCAAATATGACATACAGTGGGGTGATGGTAGTTCGAAGTCAGAAGTCAACTACCGGTTTATAGACCTTTTTGCCGTATGAGTATACGTCGCCCAGGATGCACCACGTGTAGGTAAATCTATCGCTCACCCCGCATGCAAACATCGTTTTTGATTGATTGGTCTTCAAGGAAAAGATTAATTAAACAAAATTTATTTAGGAAAGTACCAAGTCATTTAGTTTAGCATTGCATACATTTTTTTCTCCTTTGGAAGGAGTTATCCTTTTCCCGCTAGATATCAGACATCTTGGATGACTCATGCCTTCAACGATTTCGTCTAGACTAAAAGATCCGATTCTGGATCTCAGAGTTACCAACCGAATCATAGCAACTGGCAGACGTAAAATTACCTAGAAAAAGGACAGCTGTTGTTGTTATTGCTGTAATAGCTTCAACTTTCTGGATTGAAAGACATATCACACATGTGACAGTGTGGAAAACAGACCATGTGCCATAAATTAAATAAGAGAACACCACTGGATTTTATGCTGAAATAGGTTAATTTTTGTTGGAGGTAGTTGCCAAAAAGACAAATTTAGATAGTGTCTTTTTTAATCGAGCTAAGTGACGTTTGAAGCATCTTCTTCTAGACACTTCGTCATAGACGAGGAGTTTTCAGTTTGCTTCTTAAAATGGTCACACATGATAATCTATTTTCCTCCGTTATTAGCTGAAGTACAAGTGAATGTAAACCTCCGGTCTTAAAATCAAATATATGGAGTAATTGCTTCAAAGTAAAGTTTCACTCGATTCGCAAGCTGCCATACACCTCAAGCCCAGAAGGGCAAGGAAGCAGGAATCCAGGTCCAAATTGCAATGAATCCCTAGTTTATGGGCTAAAATTTCGCTGCTTTCATTCTCCGATGTTTTCATAATGAACAAATAGGTGAGCTTGGTGGTTGTGAACCTTTAATACTTCCCCGAAAGCAATAAAGTCTTACAGAAGAGATCCCTTATCATTCAGCTTGATATTTCTTTTGTTATTCTACAATGTTGCCAACGGATGGTATGATACCAGTGTTTATTACATTCCTGCAAATGCTTGCTAGAATAGCGAATCGCAGAAATGTTGATTTTCATCGAAAACAAAGAAATGCTTTTGTACTGGGCGTGGGGAGTGGGGTGGGGGAGGGGGCGGATAACCGCAGCAAAACAAAGAATTTCTAAAACGAAGACATTGTACCTTTATTCATTGGCATATCCCTGGATGGTGGGTATTAAACTCAGAAAAGAATTTTTCAAGTTGGAACACTGATGATCATATTCTTTAAACGAGATTTCATAAAGAATTTGGAAAGATGAAAGTATGACTGAAGAAATGAATACCATAAGAAAATCCTCTTTAACTTCTGGACTAAAATCGATTTTATCGATTTTTAAAAGCAGCAAATGAGTTAATTATATCGCCTCCTGTGAAGAAATATTATGGAAGATAATATTGACCACATCAAATAATAAGTTCATATTTTCCAAGTACGATTAAAAAATTGTTGACGAATAACCCCCAAGAATTCTGAGGATTCTAGACTGCTTACAACACTTCAGCTTGACCCCAATATTCGTAAGTCCAAAAGCTTGGGCTTTGAGACAACCTTGACGGGACGCATATATACGAACAAGATCATACGTTGGCATAAGCGACGCTGTTAATCCAGACATGCGCACAACGCTCTTGCCTTTAAAAGACGACGAAGAAAGGAGGGAATATTTTGCGCGTGTGTGGCAGGTAGACACCCAGAAGGTGGTGAACTTGGAAGTAGATGGAATGATTATTTGTCTAGACTTTACTAATACCTAGTTTAGGCTTATTTCTTTAGTTGGCTTTGGTATGGTTTCATTGTGTATAATATTTTATTTGAGAAGTCTTCACTCAGCAGATTAACGCAAGCCAAGCCTAAACCATCAACTGGCCGCTGTTTGTTAAAGAGTATCTGTTTAAACAGGTCCTAGTTCAAGCCATTAAAAGTCGATGTATTAAAGCAAATTTGAGTATATGGGTTATTGATTGATAACACCTGACTGCTCTCCAAAATGTTCATTAAGTGCCAAATGCTGGCAGACACGAAGGTATTAGTCAACGCTTGAACACGTAAACATAAGGCTAAGGAAGAGAGTAGATGTCGTGTTTGATGAAGCGTTTTAAGACGGTAGGCAAACTTAGTGTTTGACGAAAGAACAGATACTACCATTAAAGGAGTATGCAGTATATGGGTTTCACCATAGCTTTCTTTACATGAATGACAACTATTCGATGTGCCAATAGACGCAGGACAACCGACACCCCATATAGCGTTCACTTTGACATTTCATACACGGGTAGCTAATTGGAACCCCGAACGACAGATTCACAGGAAATAAGAGTTTTGAAATCAGTTTATAAAGGCGGCGCTCTAATTTCAAGAATCTTATTCGAAAATATGTCCTAATTAACACCACGTGCACAACAGAGAAAGGTACTTTATTTGCGTAGTATCCTTATTAAATTGGACAGGCTCCGAAGACATCATACCTTGGTCGAGAAGTCAGACGTAATTGTCAATTACTTTCGCATAAATCTGTTTTTCGCGACAAACTGAGAGAGCTAATTCCATGGAAAGCCTTATGTTCTTTCGCAGTTTTTTTTCTACAAACTAGTTCTATCAAGCAGTATGATAGAAAGGAATGACATGCACCAACTATTTGTTCTACATTTACATTAAAAGCGGTTAGCTGCTAACAACGAGGCTTTTCAACCCTACCCTCTCCGGTTCCTTGGTTCACATGACAGAGTTAGCAAATGTGGAATTGGGTAACAAACACGGTTAGCAGCTGGTAAAGATTGAATTGTTTTAATGAAAGTAAACAATGATGAATAGCCTGGGAGTGTCTAAGTCATTTTAAAATTCGTCAAATACTGTTTTATTTGAGGCTGCCAACGCTCAAGGCGAAATGTATCTTTGAAAAATCTCAAACGGTGTGAGAGAGCGAGAGCGAGAGAGAGAGAGTTGTCATAAACCCGATAAAATCTCAAAACTTTTTAAATTTTTTAAGAAACTCATTTTAGAATAATAAACAAGTCTATGAATCGAAATCAAGGAGTGATTTCTAAATTAAAATATTAATATTGCCCCTTGACAATATTCCCCTGTGCAAGATTTTCATCAAATTTAAAACTCAAAGGATGGGAAGCGTTGGGGGGTGGAGGGTGGGGGGAGGGGGGTGGATGAATGCTTGCAATTTGAATATGAGTCAGAGATCACGTCCATGAAACCAACGATTTTTGTCCAATGAAAGTTACCTATTTGGGAACATTCCTTTCTGTTACAGACGAGTTATGAAGACACCTGTACCGGTTCTCAAGAGCATTTCCATAACTCAGAGTACAACACGTCACTTTGTCTTCATCTGTTTACTGAATGAACATTGAACGTATTTTTATAAGCTCTTCAATTTGCCTTCATTTTTTATTCACCATTGAGGCTTCTTATAGGGGAGAGTTGCGATCTTAGATGAAGTACTTTATGAACCTGCTATTTCATACATTGATAAGCAATGACTAAGCAATGCATTGCAAAGAAAGAAGCGAGTTAAATAGAAATAATGAGATTGGTTGAACGAGGTAGAGTAGATTTAGTAAACAATGGCTTCTGCAAAAAAATGTGACAGCCAAAATTTCTGGACTCTCCGAGGTAAGGCATAGGGAATTTTCTGATTAAAATATTAGTGATCTTCGGTGATATATATATATATATATATATATATATATAATAAAATTTTGACAGTAAGAAAAAAATACCAGAAGACAGTCAGGAGAGGCATTATTGCATACAAAGTTAACTGTTTTCTTGACACTTGGTTCGGTCAACAAAAAAAATTATTTAGCCAATAGTAAAGGGGATTCGCTAGTATCTTGAAGAGATTTTAGTAAAATGGGCAAACTCAAAGAAATTTAAGAGGATTTTTGGCCTGAGATAATTAGTCTTTCCTACATCTCAAAAGCAAATTCAATGAGGTTGTATTTTTAAATTGAATTTTCAATGTCTAATTCTCTGCCGGAAGCACACGACTTTTTTATTAATCACGCTTGCATCCAACGAGTGGGAAAGTACCGAATTCCCAGCGTGATCTTGAAGTTATCTTAGAGTACGTTGTGTGGTTTTTGACGACAGAGGTGAATATACTAGACTCCTAATCAATACAGAAGAGGGAGAGAGTGGGGTGAGGTGGGGTGGGGGGGGGGGGGAGAAATATTTTATCAGAGGCACTTAAAGGTAACGAAGGCATTATCCACCAGTCTGTGTGGCGAATTCAATTTTTTATTTAATTTGGCAAGTGAGAATGGGAAATTGCTAATTAATTAGAAGCTAACGGTTACACTAGTAGCCTCCTCCAACAACCAGCTCACCGTATTTCTCAAAGTTTTAAATTGCCTGCCTCGAGTAAAGAGTAATGAATCTCAATTTTTTTTCCAAACTATGGGATGACAGTGAGCAATCATAAAGCTAAGACACTAGGCTGCCTCTGTTATATTACCAGCTGACCATTAAGTAGGCCAAAACCAGAAAGCTCGAGAGGACTTATAACTCCAATCTGATTCTTTATTAAAAAAAGCATAATTTAATTGTATAGACGAGAATTTTAATTTTAAATTTAGTGAATAAATGTTAGTGAGTTAAGTAACTGTGTTATTTTTCCCATTTTAAAGTAATTTCGGCGAAAGTAGTAAAGCTACTTGCTTTGCCTGCACACATAGTAAAGAACAATGTATGCGACCAAATTCGGAAACTAATTCGACACGTTCCTTTGGGAAAAATCGTCAGGTTCACCTCTTTTCTTGCAGCAGTCAAAAATGAAAGGTTAACTGTCATGTCCGAAGCTAACCAAGACGTGCTGCTACAGTTTGGAAAATGGAAAGAATTGTGAAAATTGGAGAATGGAAGGACATAATTTTCAGAAAATAAATTTTAGAGAATCTTCCGATTTCCAGCACACGTGGGACAGAGATGATGAGCGTGCTCACCTAATTAAATGTGCCATAAATTATTGACCAATCCGTGTAAGCAGCGTGATGGCGAGGATCGGCTGTAAATGCACTAGTTGAATGAAGGTGGTAAATGGAAAGCTAAAAAATCAAGTTCGTCAATTAGAGAGCTTGTGAGATGTCTATTTATGGCGATTTAGACGAGTGCACTTTGGAGTGAAGTGCGAAGTGGATCTAAATATTCAGAAATATTCTTGAAGGTCGGTGCAATTATGGCTCATCGTTCTTGGGGTAAAAGTGATTGGTTATAGGCTATCAAAATATGAATGAGTTCTACCAACTCACGTTTTCGACTTTGGTATGATGAAATATTTGAATTTTAGTAAATTCCTTTCGGGCCAAGTATTTAAAAGGAATACTCTCAGTCATGCTATAAAGGGAAACATCATGCCAAATAATTTAAAAAAAAATTGAACTGAAAACAGGCAAGAATGAAATGAGAGTATGTCCTTAATTTCCGAAGCCAGTTGGGAGGATGTAGGAAAACCGAATGCGCTAAAATATATATGCCAGCGTAAATTTTTTGGTAAATATTTTTAATCACTACTGAAGGTTAAGTCACCAGCAAAGATCTGTAGAAGTTTAAATTTTCCAGTAAACATACCAAATTTCTGGTATTTTATTAAAAGTTCGAAGACCAGTTGTTCAGGTGCGTAGTTGGTGGCCAATCATTACAGAAGTGCACACACTCAGATCGTAGCAAACCGCATTAGGAAATGTGTCCTAAATTCATTTTTTTCAGATTCTATAAAAGTGTTTAAGTCAATTTAAGATACTTCAAATATTTATTTTTTTGAGCATTCCTATTTACTATATTCGTCAAAACTTGGTGTTCGTTAAATTAATTGGTCGACTGGAATAGTGGTTCAGTTCTAAAGGCGCTTTTTAGGGTGAGAGGGTTTACTTGGGAATTAGAGGAAATGATGGTTATCCGGTTTTTTTTCAGTTTCGTTTAAATGTGAAATATGCTGAATCATCGGTACACCCAACTCATCCCTAAAGTGAGAAGAGTGAAGACAGTCCGAAGACAGACTATGTTTTCGGAAAAAAGTTATGATTTTACCCCTTGTAAGGAGAATATTTATGGTAGTGGGTACTTAACAGATTTAACCAGATATCGATGGGAATTTTAAAGGATGAAACAAACGTGTCTTCAGGTTTTGTAAAAGATAAGTACAAATATTCATGTGAAACTGCTGTGCATATGTGGAAATGATAAGTTTTCTTAAAAATGGTTGGTGTTTATAGCAGTATAAATGGCCGGCTTGTCTTCAAGAAAACATGTAATTTACCATCGTTTAAACGTTAATAGCTGAAAATTCAACCAGAAGAACCTTTTAAAAGTCAACAAGGCTATTTCAAACCATCTGCCGATTTTTCGCAAATGAGCTCAGTTACATTGATTCAGCGACTCACTATTTCATTCAATTAAGTCTATGTCACTACTCCAATTGTTTAAAATTCAGTGATTTATTGAATACTCGCACGTGCACAAAGCTTTTTATTCGGAATTTTCAAACGACAAGTTCTAAACTGTGGATATATGCTAGCTACCACCGTTCAGTCTTAGGTACTTCGATTTCTTTGCATTTGAATGGTCTTCGAAATGTGCAATTGAGAAAATGTAAATGAATGCTAG